TGGCTCACCCCCATCCCTCCTCCAGCGGATGAGGAAGCCCCTGACTACGGCTCCGGCGTGCGGCAGTCGGGGACAGCCAAGATATCCTTTGATGACCAGCATTTTGAGAAGGTACAGTGGTGGCCGGCTCTTGGTGGGTGCCTGGGGACTGCAAACCCCTGCCTGCCACAGCAATGCTCCCCCATGGGGACCACCAGGCTCCCAGTGGTGCAGGCATCACGCTCCTTGTGCCCTGGCCACCCCCAGCCCTCTGGCACCCGCCAGTGCACCCCACTCTTGCGCATGTCCCGGGGGGGGTGGCTGCCATGGGGCAGAGAGGGGAGAGCTGGAGGTGTCCTGGGTTCTCTGGGTGGCAGTGCAAGTGGGACTGCCTTGGGGATCACGAGCATCCCTGAGCCCCGCTCCTGGCGCAGTTCCAGTCAGAGTCGTGCCCGGCTGTGGGGATGTCTCGCTCGGGGACTTCCCAGGAGGAACTGCGCATCGTTGAAGGCCAGGGGCAGGTCAGCGATGTGGGGCCCTCTGCCGATGAAGTCAACAACAACACCTGCACAGGTGAGGGGGTGCTGACAAGTGGTTGGGGAGCAGCCCTGGCACCCAGCCTGCTCCCACCCAAGTGTTGAAAATCTGCTGCCCTGGTGCTAAAGACCCTCCCCTCCTTGCAGTGACCCCAGAAGACCTTCTCCTGGACAGCCCAGAGAAGCCTGCACCGGATGGGCCACTGGAGACAGCTCTGGACCACCTGAAGCTGGGCAGCATCTTCACTTTCCGCGTGACAGTCCTGCAAGCCTCCAGCATCTCTGCAGAATACGCAGACATTTTCTGCCAGTTCAAGTAAGGCCCCGGTGGTGCCCTGGTGCCCTGCATCTCCCACCATGCTCCAGCCATTGCCTAGGGGCTGGTGATGGATGTTGGGGAGCCCCAGCACCCCAACCTTGGAGCCCTTCGTGGATGGGGAGGCAAAACCGAGGGCTGTGGGATGAGCCCATGCACTTGTCCGGGACCTTGTTTGGTCACTAGCGAACGGCAGGGAGATGCTCCCATCAGCTTCAGGGGGAGGTCCTGTGCCAGCCCAGGGTGTGGGCGGCACCCCCAGGGGGAGCAGGCTCTTCTGGTCCCTGCCCTCTCTTCCCTCCCTGCTCCGGCACATCCCTGTCCCGCGGTCCCTGAGTCACCTTCCCTCTGCAGCTTCATCCATCGCCACGACGAGGCCTTTTCAACAGAGCCCTTGAAGAACACAGGACGGGGGCCACCACTGGGTTTCT